CTTGAGGCTGCCGCCCGCCGGTTGGGGCTGAACCGTCCATCTTTACGGTTCAGGGCACGGCCAGGCCTCGCAGCATTGAGGCCGGCCTCTGCCCCACCGGTACAAAAGTACCGGTCCAGCCTCAGTGAAGCCATCGACCTACCGGCATTCTACCGGTACGGTATGGTACAGCGCGAAACAGCGCTGGCGCTAAGTTTAGCGCAAGAGCAGCGAGGAGCAAGGCAGCGCAGCATTAGCGCAGCAGCAGCGAGCGAGCAGCAGCAGGGGCGACTGAGTGTACCGGCGGCCATAGCCACCTGAGGTATCGGGAGTCGGAGGCCTCTCTCCTCCCTCCCCTCGCCAGTCCCCTCTCTATCTCTCTCTCCTCCTCGGCGCCCTCCTTCGTCTTCTTCTTCTTCTTCTTCAGATTGGAGACTTATACTAGTTGGACAGAGATCAGTGTTGGACTTCGGTGGTATGAGATTGTGGTACTTACCGGATTGGAGAATTGGAGATTGTTGAGGTTGATACTTAACGCATCACAGTTCAGACACCAGTTACATTTGGACTCTGTATCTCCGACATTGGTGACTGATTGTCCTCGACATTTTGATCTTGTTGGATGACATTTTGGACTACCATATCGGTGACCTATCGTATTCTATCTCGGTGACCTACCGGTGCTGTCTACCCCCCCCACCTCCTTCGTCTCTCCTCCCACCTCTCATCTGTGTATGTGTGTACGGGATCTGGGCATCGTCCATGCTTGGCCCAGACCCCACCATCTCACGATTGTATGTGTGTGGAGTGATTCTACGTGAGTTAGTCTATGTGAGTAAGTCTATGTGAGTCAGTCTATGTGAGTCAGTCTATGTGAGTCAGTCCGTTCATCAGACTTCCGGTGCATATATGCTTATCCTACATTGGTTGATCTTTGGTTCTGCCCATACTCATCGAAGTATGTAACAATTTTGGTATTGGAGCAGACCATTTCACGGATCTGCTCACCAGGTAAGTCTGATTAGGAGGTAGATTGTTGTTTCAATCATCCGAATCAGCTCCGAATTACTATTTAGTTCAAAGTTGCAATTTTTCTTTTTTTCTTTTTTTCTTTTTCGGTATTCTACTTATTTCGGCATTGCCGTTTCAATTCGGTATTCGGACTTATAATTCGGATTTCTGTTTTCTTCCAGTATGCTGTTTATTTAGGTTCCGATTGATTGATACTCATCCGATAATCTGTTAGATTCGGATTTCCGATGTTAAAACGTATTAGGGTTGAATTAGTATCTTGTTGAAATCCGGCATTTTGATTTCCATTCAACATTCCATTTTGGCATTCTGTTGTAAATCCTATATTTCGTTCTCTTTTGGTATTTCCGTTGTCTTTCAGTATTGGGAATTAGGGTTATGAAATCTTTTTGGTTTTAGATCAACTTGGGGAATTCAAACGTTTTGGGGACCGTAAATCCGAAAATTCCGCCCACACGCGGAAAATTAGGGTTGGGACCGAAATTTTCGCGAATTTTTTTTTCGTTCCCCTTGTTTGAGAAATTCCGAAAACGGGTTTAGGCCTTTAAAATCGGATTTTGACGGTGGAAATTCCCGAAATTTCACGTTTTTGAGAAATTCGAATGTTTTTCTCCTGATTTTTGTCCGAAATTTTTTTGGCAAACTAATCCGACTCTGACCCTCAGCATTGCAACTTCCGGGTAGTTCACTAATTAACGGTGAACTCCCGGACTCAAAAAATGATCTCAAGGGATACCTGATCTTGCTAACAATTCAAATTCGGTCATTATCATTATTGCAAATAATGTTTAATTGATTATCGTTACAAAATCATTCGTGCAATGATTGTTGATCGATTATCATTAAGAATTATTCTTTCGTATTAATCATTAATTAAAATTATTGATTAAATAATTCGTTATTATTCTCCTTATTATGAATTTTCGAATTGTTTACGGAAAAAAATATTTTTTCTGTTTGATTAGGTGTCTTAGTCCATTCTTGGGACAGGGACTGTATGTTTATGGCTTGATCTGTTCTATCCTTGTGCCCACCCTCTCCCTCACACTGTTCTGCGATCCTCCGGACGACCCAGCCTTCAGCAACAGTTCCTGATGCCAGCAGGGCCAGCCTCCGAACAACAGCCACGACGCAGCAAGCGGATCGCCAATCGCCAACAGCAACAGCAACAACAACCTCCAATTCCACAACCGCCACAGACCAGTACTCATATGGCGAATACGCCACACAGCGGATCATCATCCGAGGGTTCGACAGCTAGTAATGCTGAACCTTTACCGGTCTGTCCGGTGCAAGGGTCGAATGAGCCCCTCCCGGACTTCATTCAGAGAATGCAGGACTATACAGCCGCACTAACCCAGGTCAAGGAACAGCAAGAGGCTGCCGCAGCCGAAAGACTACGGCTAGCGGAGGAAGCTGTAGCACAAACCCGGCCTCAAGCCGAGGCAGACCGATTGGCGATCGATCAGCTCAACGCCGGCAGCGCTGAACGTGTAAGTGCTAACCAAGCACAATGGGATGAGTTATGTCCCGGTACCCGGCAGCGAGCCGACAACAGTACAGCAGGAGAGGCAAGACCTGGCAGATATTCTACTCCATACAATGCGCGCCGCCATTTGGAACAGCACCATGGGGGAGCTGCATTCCCAGTCCACACTGCAACTGCAGCACGATCTGAGCCACAACGTGAAGATACTTGCAGCAGCTGTCAAGGTCGCAGACAACCAGCTGAAACAGCTAGATGCACGCATTGCTACCTTGGAGGCAAGGCCTCCCCAAGCAGCGCCAGGCTGCACGACAGATATGACAGACATGCCGAAGCAGCTCAATGGGCATCGATCATGTCGTCAATCTCATCGGCGATATAGGTGTTTTCAACCCACAAATGCACCATCACCGAACTCCACACGCACCTCACGTGGAAAGAGTTTGAGAAGCTATGGATCACCCGGTTCATGGTCCGCAACGTCGTGAAGGCGGCCATGAACGAGGTGTATACCTGCTCTCAAGGGAGTATGCCAACTCGAGACTGGACAACCAAGTGGCAAAAGATAGTGACCACGCCAGGCTTCGATTTGACTTTTCCTAATCAACGATCCGAGTTCTTCTCGCGATCGTGCGCAGGATTGCGATCGACACTCAGTAACGAGTACAACTATACCTCGTTCCAGGCTATCCTGGATCGCGCAAACTTGGTCATCCAAACGGACGACAAGGCTGCTAACGAGAAACAATCCCAGCCGCATTATGTGGCTAAGGAGGGCTATCAACGTCCCGCACATAACAATGTCGTGATTTCTGAAGAAACAGACGATCTCCACGCTGCAGCAGCATCCTCGAGTGATGGAGGAATTGTAGCAGCGCTTCCGCCGAAGCGTCCCAAGAGAGTTCGGAAGAACAAGGCGACACAAGAGACGGCATCGACGGGAACAAGGCAGCAGCCATGGACAACATACAAGATAACCAAGAAATTATATGACCTACGTCAATGGTACGGATATTGCCTATGGTGCAATGGTGTCACTCATGTGACCGCACAATGCCCCGGAAAGGGCAAGGCACGCGTACCCCGTCCAGCTAACTCGGGAAACTGAGTTACGCAAGGAAAGGGGCGACGTCTCTCCTCACTCCGCCGGACCCGGTTGCCTTGCTAGCAATCGATATCACTACCGGGAAGCATGCGTTAGTCGCTGATTCTCGTGCTACGTACGAGGATTATGCCGCCCAGCTGGTACCACCATTAGACCAGTCGAGCCACGTGCATTAAGCTAGCGTATGCGCAGCCTGTACACCGTCGGCAAGAGATCCAGTCAGCTCGCCACTGACTTCCGAGGACTCGACGGCGTGGTCAAGACTAGAGGAGATGAGAGAGGACTTCGCTTGGATATCTCTACCCTCGACCAGAACCTTGCCAGAACCCCATTGCAATGCCTTAATGGCACATCTACGCTCCTATTTGCACACTACAGTACCAGCTCCGTTGACGGACGACGGAGTACCGGTTGTCGATCTCCGCTCCTATCTTACGAAGATTGACCGCGAGTACGCCACCCAAAGGTACACCGAAACCGACGCGCCTTTGCTCTATATCCACATTCAAATCAGAAAGGCAACATGTAGTGCCTTGATTGATTGCGGAGCGTCTCGCAACTTTATGAGCCAAGCCTTTATGGCCCGCGCAGGCCTTGGCCCGCGCGTTCAAAGGAAGACGCAACCCACGCAAGTCACACTCGCAGACGGCCGCACGCAAAAGTCAATTCACCGATGTGTCGACGGCGTTCCGGTATACTTTGCGCCACTTGCGTACGAGCCGGTGTCTTTTGACATCCTCGACACCAAGTTCGACATGTTTCTAGGCATATCTTGGTTGCGTATCGCCGATCATCCGGTAAACTTTCATCACCGAACCGTTCACATCCGTGATCGAAACGGAGTGTTAGTCCCATGTACGGTTGCGACCCCTCACACTTCGATTGCTTGCCACGTGGTTTCCATTGCGAAAATTCGCAACCCCATTGCTCGGAATGACATCGAGGAGATGGGCCTTGTATTCTTGCATGCTCTCCTTCGCCGGACGGACCAGCCGCGTCACCGCCGGACCCACGCATTTCTCACCTCTTGGATGAATATAGAGACGTCTTCGAGGCTCCCACCGGAACGGTTCCGAATCGGCCCATACGTCACGGGATCACTCTCGAGGCTGGCACCGTCCCTCCGCGTGGATGTATCTACCGCATGAGCGAAGAGAACTCGAGGTGCTTCGCGCACAACTCGATGACCTTCTCGACAAGGCCTGGATTCGCCCTAGTTGCTCGCCATACGGTGCCCCTGTTCTCTTCATCCGGAAGAAGAACAAAGATCTACGGTCATGCATCGATTATCGAAAACTTAACCCACAAACCGTAAAGAACGCCGGCCCTCTCCCTCGGATTGATGATCTTCTTGAGCGGTTAGGCGGCGCGACGTACTTCTCGAAGTTGGACTTGAAGTCAGGTTACCACCAGATTAAAATCCAGCCTCAAGACTGATACAAGACCGCGTTCAAGTCACGGTACGGGCATTTTGAGTGGGTTGTCATGCCCTTTGGCATCACCAATGCCCCCGTGACTTTCCAAGCAGCGATGACGACTGAGTTTCGCGACTTGCTCGATCGCAGCGTCCTCATCAACCTTGATGACATCTTGGTTTACAATAGGACGTTGGACGAGCACATCGTACACCTTCTCGTTGTTCTGGATCATTTGCGACTAGCCAAGTACAAAGCGAATCTCGACAAGTGCGAATTCGCCAAGCAAGAGCTTGAGTACTTGGGTCATTTTGTCACGCCGAAAGACATTCATCCCTTAGCGGACAAGATCCAAGCCATCGTGGATTGGCCGGAACCCCGTTGCGCGACGGATGTACGCTCTTTCATGGGTTTGGCTGGATATTATCAGCGATTCGTCGAGTCATACTCGAAAGTGGCTGCTCCTTTGTCGGGACGTCAGTCCCCGAAGGTGCCCTTCGAGTTCGACGACGCAGCCCGTGACGCGTTCACTACGTTGAAGGCAACAATACAAGCCGCACCTACCCTCCGTATATATGACCCCACCCTTCCCACCCAAGTGACTACGGACGCTTCGAGATACGGTATTGGTGCGGTGTTGGAACAATGTCACGAGGACGGTTGGCATCCGGTCGAGTACTTCTCCCAAAAGGTGCCTCTCGTCAACACTCTCGACGACGCTAGGAAGAAAGAGCTACTCGCGTTCGTCACCGTTCTCAAACGGTGGCGCCACTTTCTTCTCGGTCGTCGGCGTTTTAAATGGAATACGGACAACAATCCGTTGACCGTTTACAAAACGCAGGATACGATCACTAGCACGATCGGTCGACGGATGTATTACAACGACCAGTTCGACTTTGACCCGTGCTACATTCCCGGTCCCGCCAATCGAGCTGCGGACGCCCTCTCATGACGGCCCGACTTTTGTGCCATTGTGACCACGGCATTCGACCTCGATCACGATCTGCAGCCGCATTTCGTCAAAGGCTACAAGTCCGATCCGACTTACTCTACGCTTTACGCGGAGCTTTCATCGGATCACCCGTCGGCTAGCCACTATCGGATTTCCGACGGGTTCCTTCTCCTTCACAYGAGAGGAAAGGACTTGTTAGTTGTGCCCCAAGATCGCATCTTACGGACTCGTCTTCTGGGCGAATTCCACGACGCATGACTTTCGGCACACCTTGGCGTGAACCGCACATTAGCACGCCTCCGGCAGCGTTTTCACTGGCCCGACGTCCTTCATGACGTCACGAGGTACATTCAGTCATGTGCAGTTTGCCACCGTAACAAGGGTCGATCTCGAGTCCCCTTCAGCGAACTGAAACCGTTGCTGATTCCTCAGGCACCACGCCTCTCCATTGCTATGGACGTGACAGACCCGTTTCCCCGCGATCGCCACGGCCATGACGGTATTCTCACGGTCGTTGACCGTTTGAGCAAGTATGCTCGCTTCCTTCCTTGCAAGTATCATGCTGCAGCTCYTGAGCTCGCACGACTCTTGCACACCGGTTGGATTACCAACCAGGGTGTTCCGGAAGACATAGTGAGCGACCGAGATACTTGCTTCATGTTGGCCTTTTGGACTTCCCTCGTAGCTGAGTCCGGTACGACAATGAAGCCGAGCTCCGCTCGGCACCCGCAGACGGATGGTCAGACGGAGCGAGCGCACCAGACCGCTCAGATGATGTTGCGCACGCTCATCCGTCCCGACCAGAAAGATTGGGTTGACCGGCTTCCCGACATCGAATTCGCCTATAACACTTTGGTGCACCCGGCAATCTGCGTCACACCATTCGAGTTACATCATGGTGGAGAGAAAGCACGGATCTTCGCTGATCTCCTTTTGCCACAGGCTGCCGACATAGACGTCCCTTGCTCTCCCGCTTCTGTTCGGAAGTACCGGGACTTGCTGATCAAAGCCCGCACAAATATGCAAAAGGCTCAGATCCGCATGCAGCAGCCAGCTAACCGACGTCGACTTCCATGTCCTTTTCGCGAGGGAGACCTTGTTTGGGTCCTCTCCGAGGAATTTGAGCTCGAGCAGGACGTTTCGCGCAAACTCCTTCCGAAATGGTTCGGACCATGGGAAGTCACTTCTGCCGTTGTAGACGACCCCGCAGGTCCTTCCTTTGTGGTCAACATTCTTCCGCACCTTCCAGTGCACCGGGTCTTCCACGCGTCGAAGCTGGCCATCTACAAGCCACCTTCCGCCGACGAGTTTCCCGGCCTTTGATCACAGGATCCGCCTTCTATGGACGGACATCAGGAAGTCGGCCGAGTCATCACGCATCGCAAGTATGGCAACAAGCCAATGCAGTTCAAAGTCACATTCAAGCAATGTGCGCCTGATGACACTCGATGGATCTCCAGTACAGATTTGCAGACTTCTGCACCCCTCATCTTCGTCGACTATGAGAAGCGACACCTCGCTAAGGAAGCAGCTCGTCCCGCCCGACCCACCCCGGTATCGGACAGACAACTTCGCCCTCGCATGTAGCTCGGTCTTTTAAGAGGGGGAGTGTGTTACATCTTCGACGCCACACGGGTCCTACCGGACCCGACTTAGGGTTAAGAGGGACATACTAGGGCCTAAAGGCCTGACCTTGGAGGCACTACAGGCCGTAAAGGCCTTACCTTGGACCAAACCCGACGGGCAGTTCCAAACGACATTACCGTTTGGGCCTGGCAGCGCTCTTGAGGCTGCCGCCCGCTAGTTGGGGCTGAACCGTCCATCTTGACGGTTCAGGGCACGACCAAGCCTCGCAGCATTGAGGCCGGCCTCTGCCCCACCGGTACAAAAGTACCGGTCCAACCTCAGTGAAGCCATCGACCTACAGGCATTCTACCGGTACGGTATGGTACAGCGCGAAACAGCGCTGGCGCTAAGTTTAGCGCAGGAGCAGCGAGGAGCAAGGCAGCGCAGCATTAGCGCAGCAGCAACGAGCGAACAGCAGCAGAGGCGACTGAGTGTACCGGCGGCCATAGCCACCTGAGGTATCGGGAGTCGGAGGCCTCTCTCCTCCCTCCCCTCGCCAGTCCCCTCTCTCTCTCTCTCTCCTCCTCGGCTCCCTCCTTCGTCTTCTTCTTCTTCTTCTTCTTCTTCTTCTTCTTCTTCTTCAGATTGGAGACTTATACTAGTTGGACAGAGATCAGTGTTGGACTTCAGTGGTATGAGACTGTGGTACTTACTGGATTGGAGACTTGGAGATTGTTGGGGTTGATACTTGGCGGCATCACAGTTCGGACACCGGTTACATTTGGACTCTGTATCTCCGACATTGGTGACTGATTGTCCCCGACATTTTGATCTTGTTGGATGACATTTTGGACTACCATATTGGTGACCTATCGGATCCTATCTCGGTGACCTACCGGTGTTGTCTACCTCCCCCACCTCCTTCGTCTCTCCTCCCACCTCTCATCTGTGTATGTGTGTACGGGATCTGGGCATCGTCCATGCTTGTGCCAGACCCCACCATCTCATGATTGAATGTGTGTGGAGTGACTCTATGTGAGTCAGTCTATGTGAGTCAGTCCGTTTATCAGACTTCCGCTGCATATATGCTCATCCTACATTGGTTGATCTTTCGCTCTGCCCATACTCATCGAAGTATGTAACATTAGACCACCAATACTTGGCCCAGCTATCAGCCGTGCAAAAAAAATACAGTAAAACGTTTCTAGTCAAATGAATTTCGGCGCTCCTGTAGTGGCCCGTACATTTCCTACAATCGTGGCTCTATAACAGACACTACTTTAGGAACCACTGGTGGTTTAAAGAGCAACAAACTTGTTGGACTACCATTCGTGAGTCTCAAGGCAAGGATATATATAATGCTAAACAATATTATCATAGCCACTAAAGTGAGGAATGAGCAACGAACTCGTTGGACTACCGTCTCCACCCGAATAGAACACAAGGGTCGTAATCGCTGCACGCAAAGAGTGGGTACCTTCCATAGCAGATGCAGCGATAATGACCGGGCCTAATATTTGGGTGGAGGCGGTAGCGCTTTGAGAGACAGACCCACCAATGGATGGATCTCTATCCTTGCGACATTCTGCACAAAGTGGTCATTCCTCAGTGGCCGGGATTACTAAAGATGTGGATTAGTCACTGACTGTCATGGCAAAGGATTGGGGCTAAAATGGACGAATCATGAATCACGATAGCTTAACTAAGCTAGCTCAAGCCTTCCGAAACATAGTTCTCACCATCTTCCTCTACAATTATCAATCTTCATCTAACCATGGTTTGGATGCCGACTCAACTGACAGGTACATTAATTCCCCTGCCATCGAACCAAAGAAAAAGCAATCAACATTGTTAAACATTATATATCCTTGCCATGACACAAGGGGATGGCAGGGCACAAGTTGTTTTGGCACTCAAGTGGGGTTGGACAAAGCAGGGTTTAAAAGCCCCGTGTTTCGTGTGAACTTTTTTTTTTAACCAACAATGGAGGGTGGGGGGGGTGCTGATACAAGCAGACATTCCCTCTACCGCCCCTTTGTTGGATTGGTGGGGGGGTGCACCTGCTTGAAACCAGGTCCAGCATTCCTTCACAGACTTATTGTGATGAGCCAAGAAGCATGTTATGCTGACTGTTATGGTGAACCATGTAGCATGTTATACATGTTATGCTGGCTGAGACCAAATCACAACCCTCATACAGAGGCAGCTTCCTCATCATATGCACGAGCGGGAGGGGGAGGGGCGTTGTTACGGACTTCGCCAGGGCTCGATCCCTGGTCTATCTTTTGCTGTTTCGGCTGCATCCCGTTTTCGGCCTGGCACCCTTTTTCCAAACCCCTCCTTTGGTACCGTAGGATTTTGGACAA